CGGAGCACTTTTGCAAATATGTGATGTCTTGTAACCGAGCAGGTATCTGACGTTTACACAACTACATTCACACCTCAAAATATCTTAAAAGTGTATTTTGTGACCCAGAAAGAGTAATATTACAACTAAGTAGCTGCCACCATTGTTGGAATTCAACTTTTGCGAGATCTCGCAAAACTTTTGCGAGATCTCGCAAAACTTTTGCGAGATCCCAAGTTTGTTTTGCGAGATCTCGCAAAAGTTTTGCGAAATCTCGAGTTAGTTTTGCGAGATCTCGCAAAAGTCCGTCATATTTTTTTTCTCTCCCATGTCCCCTGCGGGGCTCCGTAGAGACGAATAGGCTGTAAATGAGGGCTTTCCTTTAGTTATTTTACATCACACTGGGACAAATTACTTCCAATAATGTAAAACTGTAAGACTTTAAAGATGCATCACAGATATAGCATATGTAAGGGATGACTTTACCTGTGGAGACTCCTGGAATTCCTGGAGGTCCTGGATCTCCCGTATCACCTGTGAAAGGAAACATAAATCAAATTAAAGTAAATTAGAGCCTTGTGAGTTGGAAGCACACGGACAGAAAGAAGAACCAATGTGCAAACATAAAAAGAGAATAATATCGGAAAGCTCAATAAGCTCAGAAATGATTTGAATTCACCTTTAGGTCCCGGTGGCCCTTCTGCACCTGGTGGGCCTTGAGTTCCAGGCTGACCTGGGAAACCTGCAATGAAAACCATTCATATCCAATCATAGCTTGACTGTTTGTTACTGACTCCAGAAATACATCAGGGGCACCTGAACACATTGAGACAGTAAAACGTTCCTGACATACCAACACCTGGGTCTCCGGGGCTTCCTGGAAGGCCTGGTTGTCCTGGTTCACCTGGAATAGCCACCGTTACATTTAGACTGTCTGTGAAAACCTGGAGTTTCTAAAGTACAACAGTTTCCTCACCTTGGTACCCTTGTGGTCCTGGGTCACCTAAGATGAAAGAATGATAAAAAACATTCAAACTTCAACACTGGCCAGTTAATTTTCAAAAATGTTCAATCATCAATATTCATCTGGTCCTCTGCACCTACCCTGTGAGCCTTGCTGCCCCGGGGGTCCTGGAGGTCCGGGTGGTCCAGCAAAGAAGGTTTCTGAGATACAAAGTAAACTAAATGCCATGCAAAGACACCAGAGGACAGTGTGTTTGTGTTAAATTAGTTTTCTTTTACCAACCTGATGTCGGCACAAAGCTCCCAGGAGCTCCGTTCTTGCCTGGAGGTCCAGGTTCGCCAATACCTGTGAAGACACAGATCGGTTTAAGATGGAGAAAAGCTGTTTTATTCTGATGCTGCCAAAATCATATTTTATGCTGATGATCTATTTATTTATCTTTGTGTCCGTGGAGAAGAATACTTATTTACCTGGCTCTCCAGGAGGACCTCTGGGTCCTGGGGGACCCTGTGTAGACTCACCTGAATGAAAGTAACATTTGTATAATCGCGAGTTTAATTTAAGCCACACTGTTTGAAATATTTGTGTTACATATAGCTCTAAACATACCAGGAGGACCCTGAGGACCCTGAGGACCAGGTACTCCAGGAGGTCCTGGAGGTCCTTGTGGACCACGAGATCCAACCACTGAGGAAGTGTCCGCTAGGTAAGAAAACACCGAGGACATATTAATATAATATGTTTTTGCTGAAACCAGTAGTTTTGGATTTGGTGAAACTAAAGCGTTCTGTACCGCTCACCTGGCTCCCCCTTCTGCCCCCTCTCTCCCTTTTCTCCTCGCTCTCCCTTAGATCCTAAATGATTTTATCACAGGAAAAAAATCAGTCTTTTTTTATTCCATCCAGATGCTTCGTATTGGACAAGATGGCAGATTTACCTGGTTGTCCTGGGATACCAGCAGGGCCAATTGGACCCGACAGACCAGGTGATCCAGCGGGACCTGGAGGTCCAGCTGGTCCTGGAGGTCCAGGGATGGCCACAGTATCAGAGCCAACTATACACAAAAAGAAGATAAACCAAAACCAAGTAAAGCTTTACAACAATGAACGACATGTAGCGAGTATAACAAAACCTGCTGTTCTTACCTGGAGAAACGACTTTACCAGGTGTTCCTGGTTCACCTGAAACACAGCGTTAGGTTCATCAAGCACCTATGCAGTCTAGACATATATCAACGCCTCCACCAGCTTTTGAGAAAACCACTCTTCAGTGTTTCATAAATTTTAATAAGTAACTGTATTTATTAATTTCTTTGAGTTTTTTAGGGGAACTTTGGCTCCACTTTTATTCATTAGCGTAGCCTCATATGCTTTAAGGTTAAGAGCTCAAGATCTTCTGCCCTGTTGGTCCAAACTTTTTTCATTTTCATAGGAAATAAATAAAGTGACTAGAAAGAAAAGACGACCTCACCTTTACCACCAGGCTGGCCTGGGATTCCTGCAATACCTGTACAACAGATCACAAAAGCAAAACATGATCATTTAAATATGTACATTTGAATCTGTACCTTAGTTTTTGGATATTGTCATACCTGGGGGTCCCTGCAACCCAGGGGGGCCTGAGGAAAAAAGTGTTATTGTAAGGCGTGAGAGAGATTGAGGTTTTTATTTCAGGTTAGTCAGATAACATTAAACCGAACATGTAACCAGTAGCAGCATTGGACTTTTAGTGGACGGGCATTTGATACCTGGGGGACCGGCATCTCCAGGAACTCCATGTGGTCCTCTGACACCAGGAAGTCCAACTGAACCTGGGTCACCTACAGTTTATACACAGATGTTTTATACCATTTACAACACTGTGTTCTGTAGTTATTCAGTGTTTGTCCAAACTTCTCACCTGCAATTCCTTTAGATCCCTTTAATCCTGAAGGTCCTTGAGGTCCAGGCTGTCCGGGTTCACCTAAAAATAAAGGGTTGAGGTTTGAAGATGACATTTTTAAGTCTCACTAG